GAGACAGAATCCTGGGGACCAGCTAGAATTGTGAGAAATAGGAATCCTGCCCTGTTCACCGTGACTGTTTTGTTCTGATTAAGGAGGCACCTTCTCGCCTGGCTGGGAGTTGCACCTGGGACCTGGGAGCTCACCTGGGAATGCGGCCCATCCTCCCCATCAGGGAGCTGCCTGTGATCATGAAAAGATGACCAGCCTTGTTGCAGAACCTGGAGCCACCAGCCCTTTGCACACCCACAGGCCTTTGCAAATCTCCAGCCCCCATTATCTGTGAACTGCCACTTGGCACACCCACTGCCTACATCCCCTGCAATCCTTGTCCTTCTCCCCAATACAAGCAGCGGGCTTATGGGGGGCAGAGCAGATGTTTGTGGGTGACCCACTGCTCTCCCAGGCTGCTGCAGGATGGGAATCAACGCTCATATGATTCCACCCTGTCTCTGCTGAATTGGCTCCAGGAGGGACAGGCAGCGCAGCCCATGGATTGTCCGGTTCCTCTGCCAGGAGACAGTCCCCAGGCGGGACCCGCAGTGGTGTCTGCACTTCCTCCCTCATCATGTGAAACCTCAGGACAGGAAGAAACCCGGGTAGCAGGGGCCAGGTCTCGGGGCCTCTAGGGGGTCCCCACAGCCAGTGAAATGTGGGGGTGTCTCATCCAAGATCCCCAACGGCACAGCCCCTGGGCCTCTACCCGCTGCTTCTACCCAAGAGGAAGGGGCTTTGCCAGGGCTGCTGGGCCACCTCTCTCCTCGCTCACATGACAGCTGATGCCATGAGGGACGTGGGAGGAGTTTCTAAAGCTGTTGTGTCTAAAAAACTGCCAATAGCCCTGCTCAGAGCAGCTCCTCATCCACCATGTCCATCAACAGGAACAGAGGCCCCGAGAGGACAGAGGACCAGCTGAGTCCCCCAGCGCTGCAGGGGCCGGGCCAGGCCCTGGAGGACTCCTGACCCTGAGGCCTGACCGACAGCTGCTCAGACAGCGGGTGAGCGTGGGCACCAGGCCCGGCGGGCAGGTTTCTGTACCACTTCCCCACCCGCCTGAGTCACTGTGAGTCACTGCCAGGTGCTGCCACTGCCATAAGGTGCACCACAGTAATACTCTCCTTCGTCCTCAGCCTGGAGGTTGGAGATGGTTAAGTAGCGGTCGGCCCCGGAGCTGGAGCCCGAGAAGCGATCGGGGATCCCGTCCCCCTTGGTGTGGCTTCCGTCGCTGTTAACCCTCATCAAATTCCGAGGGGCCTGTCCTGGTCTCTGCTGAAACCACCGAATAAAGTAGTTGCTGTGCTCAGCCCTGAGGGTGCAGGTGAGCTTGGCCGAGGCCCCCAGGGCGGCAGAGGCAGATGGGGGCTGGGTGAGCACAGGCAGAGCACAGAGACCTGCGGACAGAAAACACAAGAGCGATGCCCACTGCACCCCGATGTGCAGGCGCCCCTGGGACTGAGCTTGGAGGGAGGATCGGGGGCAGGACCCCAGGTGCTGTGGCCGCTCTGACCTGTGGAGACGACGAGGGGCAGGAGGTAGAGGGGAAGCCAGGCCATGGTGGGAGGGTCCTGAGCGCTGCCTGCGGCTGCCCAGCTGGCACTGGCCCTGCCAGCTCCTGTCTTATCCTCTCTGCCTGCAGCTCAGGAGGGAGGAGCAGGGATGCAAATGTGCTCTCTGGGCCCAGCCAGGGTCTGTCTCAGCTGCTGGCCCCGCCCTGAGCCCAGGGCCTCCTGCGGGGCCTCCCCTGGGGCAGAGGGCAGGTGTGGGTTTCATTGCTAAGAGCTGGTTGGCCCAACAGAAGGGTCTTCAAAGGAGCTCAGTCCTGCTCTTTGCACTTGACACAGCCCTGGGGACTCTGACCTCTAAAGGCCCCAAACCAGGACCCACAGCGCCCCCCTGGTGTCCCCAGGGTGCATGTCACCTGCCTGTGCAGCTGGTTCATCACCATGACTGCTTCTGAGAGCTTCCTGGAGGCTGACAGGTGGGGAGTGTGTCCCTGGGCCCCTCACTCAGCGTCACAGGAGCCCACACCCTCCTCTGCTGGGGGCCCAGCCTCTCCTCCTGGCCAATGAGGAGGGAGCGTCCTTGGGAGGTGAAATGATTTTCCCAGAATCCCCAGACAGAGATGATGATCAAGACTCCAATGCAGGAGAAACACCTCAGAGCCTGAGGTTTCATCCCCTCCCTGCCCTGCCCCTACCAGGCTCCCCCTTCTGCCTTCCTCCTTGCTTCACCCAGGCCTCCTGAGCCCTCCTGTCCCTGCCCTCTTTTCTCTATTCAGGTGTCTGTCCTCCCGGAGTCCGTTCGGAACAGCGCTCAGATCCTCATGGTGTTGGCATCGGTGTTTCCAGGGAAACATGGATCTGTGTGTGGACTGAGGGGAGGACACGCCCTGCTCCCCTCGGAGCTGACACCATGGGTTCATGTGTCAAATGGACATTGGAAATCAGGTCCTGCTTAGGGCCCGTGTCAGGCTAGGCTGCTAGCCGTTTGGACCAGGATTGCTCTTCTGACCTGGCCAAGGCCATTGAGTGTGGAGCAGGGTCAGGACAGGAACAGGAAGCCTTTGGTTTTATGAAGCACATTTGGTCAGAAAGCAGGTTCCACCCAACATCCCTGATGGATGTGTTGGTTGTCCACCTGGTCCTGCTGAGGATGCGAGGAAATGGTTCACTCCCACACGCTGACGACGCTGGACATGGAAGTGAAGTGGGAGGCGCTTGGTGACTCATGAGCACAGACAGACAGACCCCTGGCCACTGCTCAGTGTTTGGTCTAAAGAGGGAACTGACATGAGCCCAGGGCACCTGCCTCAGACACGCCCCCTGCTGCTCCCAGCTGAGGGGGCACCAGCTCCCCTCTCCCTTCCCACCCGATGCTGCCCCTCCTCACACCCACACCCCAGGGTCTCCCCAGGGGCCCTGCTGGCCACTCCTGCTGCCCAGTCCTCACCCCTGAGCTGTGGGCTCGTGACCACGTGGGAGGAAACCAGTTAGTTCCGTCCTGGGCGACCTGCCCTCCATGGAAGGGTCTGAGCTGGGGACTGAGGCCCACATGGCCCTTTGTGGGGAACAGCAGGTCACCCCGTCCATGGACATTCCTGATTGTCAGCCTTCCCTCCAGATCCCTGTGCACAGCACAGCGTCATGGCTCAGGGAGGTACATGGAAATGACCGTCCCACCAAGAAGGGTATTCCCAGCAGCATTTATTTATTTATTTTTAAAATATATTTTTTATTGATTTCAGAGAGAGAGGGGAGGGAGAGAGAATAAAACATCATTGATAAGAGAGAATCATTGACTGGCTGTTTAATGCATGCCCCCTAATGGGGATGGAGCCTGCAACCTGGGCACGAGCCCTTGATCAGAATCAAACCTGGGACCCCTCAGTCTGCAGGCCGATGCTCTATCCACTGAGCCACACCAACGAGGACTAGCAATGTTTATTTAAAGGTCAAAAGGCCCATTGTCATGAGGACACTGGTGATAAATGTGTCTGGGAGCCCAGGTTCCTGTAAACTGTGCTTCTATTGAACATGGAGGGGTCACTGTGGAGCTGATGTGGCTGCTGTTACAGACGTTCCCGCTCACGGTGTCCAGGCCCCTCCCGGGGGCCGTCCCGATGCACCCACACTCCTCATGGGCCTCCTGCTCCCGGACATGACCCATGGCTGACAGGGCTCCAGGTGGGATCGTCCACAGGTGCCCGAAGCTGCCCCAGCTCTCGCTCGACACAGACGGGCAGCTGTGCTCAGGGCTTGGTCTGCAGCCCTCGGGGCTGGAGGAGAGCGTGACACAGGGAGGTTTCTGTCCCACTTCCCCATCCGCCTGTGTCACTGTGCACTTCAGCACTATTGTCCCACACCACACAGTAATATTCGGCCTCGTCCTGGGCCTGCACCCCGCTGATGGTCATGGTGTTCGTGTCCCCAGAGTAAGAGTCAGAAAATCGCTCAGGGATCCCTGAGGGCCGTTCGTTGTTACCATAGATGACCACCACAGGGGCCTGGCCGGGCTTCTGCTGCAGCCAGCTTGGATAATATTGTGTTATGGGATTTCCCTGGCAGGTGATCCGGGCCATCTGTCCTGGGGCCACAGACACTGCTGGGGGCTGAGTCACTCCTGAAGAGGCCACAGGACCTGTAAGAGAGGAGAGGAGAGGAGAGGAGAGGTGAGTGTGGGCATGAGGTTCTCAGTCCCAGAGGCCCACCCCCCGCAGCGTCCCCTGTGCTGAGCTGAAGGTCATGGCCAGGCTGCTCCCTGGTTTCTGGGCCTGAGCCTGGGGGCAGCACCTGTGCAGAGTGTGAGGAGGGGGAGCAGGAGGGTCCAGGCCATGGTGAGGCTGCCAGGCTCTGCTCTGAGCCCTCAGCTGGGCTGTGGGCTTCAAGGCTCCTCACCCCTGGGTGGGCGGGGCCTCATGCAAATCCACTTCCTTCCTTCTGGGCCTCAGGGGTGTCTCCCTGCTGAGCAGGAAAGGGCTCAGTGGAGGAGGCTGTGCCAGGGCTCCATGCACAGGCCTGAGCCAGGTTCCCTAGCGCCCTGGGCTGTCCAGTTAGAAAGGTCTGTCCGGCCGGTGTGGCCCGATGTTGGAGCATCGACCCATGAACCAGGAGGTCCTGGTTCTATTCCAGGTCAGGGACCATGCCCTTTTGGGGGCTCCATCCCCAGTGGGAGGATTGCAGGAGGCTGCCAATCAGTGATTCTCTCATCATTGATGTTTCCATCTCTTCCTCTCCCTTCCTCTGTCTGAAATGAATGATACATATTTTTTAAAAATTTAAAAAGAAACTTCTGACCTATGACCCAGCAGCTGCACACACAGGCTGTGGCCTGGCCTCCTCCCTGGGCGTGTGGACAACCCTCAGGCCTCCTGTCTGGTGAGGACTCACCCTCAGGGCGGGGCTGGGGGCTGGGAGGAGCCTGTGGGGCCAGTGGTCATGCTGGGGTGGGAGAGGCCAGGATCCCATGGCCAGAGGCAGAGAAATTGCTCCTGTGCCTCTCAGGCAACCTTGTTGTTAATTGTTTTAGGAAGAAATAAGAGAAATCTTTGAGACCCAAGGCCAGGCCAGAATTCTCTGATGACATCAGAAGCACGATTCACGAAAGAATAGATCAGTACATTGAAGCTCATCGAAAACAATCTCCTTGGCTTTGCAAAGTTTTCTAAAGAAACAGGCAGCAGAGAGGAGAGAAGTTGGTGTTAACAACACATCCAATGAGTGACCAGTGCAGAGAGGACAGGAGGAGCCATGAAATTTCGCCAAAGAATCACAGCCCAGGAGGACACAGGCAGATCCCAGAGTAGGCGCGTCAGGAAGAGGGTGTGTGATGGCCATGGGCACAGGGGAGGGCGTCCATCCTCAGCTGTTAGGGAAACACCAGCGAAACCACAGCGAGACACGACCACACACAGGTCAGGGGGCTCCCGTGACACAGGGACCCTGGTGACGGCAGGGGTGGGAGGGAGGCGGGTGCAGGGACGGTGGGAATGGGAAAGGCTCGGTGACTGTGGAAGGCGCCTCACAGCCTCTCGGGGACTGAGACTCGCACTCAGCACACAGCCCAGCAGCTGTGCTCCGGGCACTCATTTCAGAGGGAGGCCTGTGCTCACAGGGACACTGTGCACAGAGGTCATGGCCCCGCGGGCACCACGTCCACGGGGGAAGCCACGGAGGCCTCTGCCCCTCCTGCGTGGACGGGTTAACAGACGTCAGTCCCCCCAGACCAGGGTCACTGCTCAGCAATGAAAGGGAAGGAGCTCTTTTTACAATTCGTGTGTTTTTATTGATTTCAGAGAGGACGGGAGAGAGAAAAATCCTGAGAGAGAGAAAGAATGGTTCCTGCGGGGCCTTGTTTGGGACAAAGTCACCACAGCCCTTTAGAGAACAGCCCTGCACAGGGGAGGGGACAGGGGTGGCCCTGAGACCATGTGCCTCCAGCCCCTGGGCTGACAGAGGTCACTGCGGGGTCAGCCCTGATCCATCTCCTCCTGCTCCCTGCCCCCCCCCCTCCCCCCAGAGACCAGCCCGTCCTCCCCTCCTGCCCCTGGGGGGACACCCAGGCCCCGGGCAGCTCCTGGACCTTCATCTCAGAACCAGCCACTGGGGACCAGCCCGGCCTCCCTCCTGCCCCAGCTCAGCTCAGCGCCCAGGGATCCGGGCGAGTGAGTGCACAGCTGCTCCCTGCGGCCTGGGTGGTGAGGGTGTGTGAAAGGCGCTGCATTTCAGATTCCAGAAACCCAGGCAGGAGGCCAGCCCGGCCCCTCCCCTGGGCTCCCCTTGTGATGCAATTGAGGGGGATCCCCCACAGGACTCCCCTCCAGCAGGAAGGAGGCCACAGGTTTCCCTCTTCAGTCTCCCCGCCCCCAGGCCCTGCTGCCCTCCCAGGGGACATGGCCTTGACTGGACCTTGGGAAAGGCCTGGGCAGAGGGGGAGCCTGTCTTGGCCCCACAAGCGGAGGATCTGGCTCAGCGGGAGGAGCCAGGCCCTGCTCCAGGCTGGTCCTGCTCAGACCTCCTCACAGGCCCCCGCCTTCCTCCTGGGCCCAGCGCTGTACCCCCACGGGGTCAGGGCTCTGTCCTGCCTCCCTGAGGACCAAATGCTTCCTGTTCACCGCCCTTCTATCCAGGCCCCTGTCGGAGTCCATGCTGCACTGAGTGAAGGCGTTCACTGCCGTGTGTTCCACAGTCACCGCTGGGACCCCTAGATCTGAGCTCCTCCCCTGACCAGAGCCCCAGGTTGGAGCGCAGGGCCTGAGGGCTGGGGGACCCGGTCATCATTCCCGGCCCCTTTCTCATGTTCTCCCTTCCTTCGCAGGCAGTTCTCCCAGCATCGTCCCCACAGGCCTGAGCGTGAAGACACACATGCTGCTTGGTCCCAGGGACCGAAATGATGCTCACAAGTGCCTCTCCTCAGGACTCTCAGCAGGAGGAGGTGCGAGATGAGGGGGTGCAAGGAGGAGACTCATGGGCTCAGGGTCCTGGGGAGGGGCAGGGCGTCCCCCCTCCCGACCTGTGGGAGGAGCTCAGGGAGGGAGGTTTTTCTCTCCCTAATCCACCATTTCCATCAACAGGAACAGAGGCCATGGGAGGACAGAGGACCCGCTGAGTCCCCCAGGCTGCAGGGGCCGGGCCAGGCCCTGGAGGCCTCCTGACCCTGAGGCCTGACTGACAGCTGCTCAGACAGCGGGTGAGCGTGGGCACCAGGCCCGGCGGCAGGTTTCTGTCCCACTTCCCCACCCGCCTGAGTCACTGTGAGTAATTTCCACCTCCGTAAGGTACACCACAGTAATACTCAGCCTCGTCCTCGGACTGGAGGTTGGAGATGGTTAAGTAGCGGTCGGCCCCGGAGCTGGAGCCCGAGAAGCGATCAGGGATCCCGTCCCCCTTGGTGTGGCTTCCGCCGCTGGTAACCTTCATCAAATACCGAGGGGCCTGTCCTGGTCTCTGCTGATACCAGTGTATATAGTAGCCGCTGTGCTCAGCGCTGAGGGTGCAGGTGAGCTTGGCCGAGGCCCCCAGGGCGGCAGAGGCAGATGGGGGCTGGGTGAGCACAGGATCAGCACAGAGACCTGCGGACAGAAAACACAAGAGCGATGCCCACTGCACCCCGATGAGCAGGCGGCCCTGGGACTGAGCTTGGAGGGAGAATCGGGGGCAGGACCCCAGGTGCTGTGGCCGCTCTGACCTGTGGAGACGACGAGGGGCAGGAGGTAGAGGGGAAGCCAGGCCATGGTGGGAGGGTTCTGAGCGCTGCCTGCGGCTGCCCAGCTGGCACTGGCCCTGCCAGCTCCTGTCTTATCCTCTCTGCCTGCAGCTCAGGAGGGAGGAGCAGGGATGCAAATGTGCTCTCTGGGCCCAGCCAGGGTCTGTCTCAGCTGCTGGCCCCGCCCTGAGCCCAGGGCCTCCTGCGGGGCCTCCCTGGGGCAGAGGGCAGGTGTGGGTTTCATTGCTAAGAGCTGGTTGGCCCAACAGAAGGGTCTTCAAAGGAGCTCAGTCCTGCTCTTTGCACTTGACACAGCCCAGGGGACTCTGACCTCTAAAGGCCCCAAACCAGGACCCACAGCGCCCCCTGGTGTCCCCAGGGTGAAGGTCACCTGCCTGTGCAGCTGGTTCATCACCATGACTGCTTCTGAGAGCTTCCTGGAGGCTGACAGGTGGGGAGAGTGTCCCTGGGCCCCTCACTCAGCGTCATAGGAGCCCACACCATCCTCTGCTGGGGGCCCAGCCTCTCCTCCAGGCCAATGAGGAGGAAGCGTCCTGGGAGTTGAATTATTTTCCCAGAATCCCCCAGACAGAGCTGATGGGTCAACACTCCAATGCAAGAGACTGACCTGGGACCTTGACCTGACAGCCTCCTCCCTGTCCTGCCCCCACAGGCCTCCTGACCCCCTCCTCCCTAGCCCAGGCCATCTAGGCTCCTCAGTCCCCGCCCTCTCTTCTCTATTCAGGTGTCTGTCCTCCTTGAGTGGGGACTGAAGAGCGCTCACATCTGCACCGCGTTGGAACCTGCGTTTCTCTTGAAATTTGGACCCGTTTGTGCACAGAGGTGGGGCCTCTGAAATATTTTCCTGTTTTTAAAAACTCAGTACAAGAATCATGTAAAACTATCAATATTTTTTATTTAATTGATATTGGAATGATTATTTCAAGAAAGTCAGTTTAACTAAATCTAGTATGAAAACGGACAGCACTTGTGTCTTCTCATTAAAATCAGGACGCTGGAAGTTGTTGAATGACATATTGGTTTAAAGTGTTATATCCACACTGTTCTTCAACTTTGGTGTATCTGTCACTTTCTTTTGAAAAAGGAGAGAGCCCGGCTGGTGTGGCTCAGTGGTTTAGTGTTGACCTATGACCCCGAGGTCACGGTTCCATTCCCGGTCAGGGCACAGGCCTGGGTTGGTGGCTGAATCCCCCAGTGTGGGACGTGCAGGTGGCCGCCGATCCATGATTCTCTCTCATCATTGACATTTCTCTCTCTCTCACTCTCCCTTCTCTGAAATCATTAAAAATACTTTTTTAAAAAAGAAAAGAAAAAGGAGAGAATCCTCTCTGGCACCGTCCCAGGAGGCGGCGTCATAGTTGTGAACGTGGAGAGGCCACAGGGCTGTGGTGGCGACCAGGGCCTCTGGGGGACAAGACCAGTCGCCCTCCCTCCAGGCCTTCTCCTAGGGTCACAGTGGGGGCGATGCCCAGGGTCTGCAGGGGCTGCTCTGTCCCCCAAGAACGTTCTGGGGTTTCCCATGTGATCACCTCCTGAGGACTTGTGGTCAGAGTCATTGCTGTGGGACCCTGTACCCCATCTCTCCCTCGCAGAACTGAGTCTCCTGGAGACGAAAGGGACAAGGA